CAACGTAAAGTGCCGCAGCCGCCCTCAGGCTACGTGCACTCGAGGGGAGGGCGCAGGCGGGGGAGGGCGCAGCTGCAAAGCCGAGCCTAACGCGCTGCAGCCCCGGCGCTGCAGCCGCTGGGCCTTAGGAAAAAAATTCTCTCCTTCGTAACCCAGAAAGCCCAAGTCTGGATGAGGTAACCCTTCTGTTCATCAGCTAGATAAATAAAAAAAGAACCCATACAACAAGGATTATGTTCCAGAAGTACCTGCCCTACATAGTGTTGACCCTATAGAGGAAGAGCGCCGCTCTCACCGTGTCATTCCAGTCCCCGTTCCTTTGTTAAGGTGTAGCTGTCGGAGGCTGAGAGTACATCTCAACCCATTTCCTAAACTCCCCAGTGTAATCGGGACAGTTTAATTTTATGTAAGCCACTAGAAGTCAGCCTGGGCCTGGCCTTCTCTAGAAGCGCCAAGCTCATCCGTGCAGATTCCTCCTGGTACAGTAGAAGGTATCGGCACTACTTTGAAACCAAATTTAAAGAACCGTTTCAATTAGAAATAAAAATTTCTTACTTGTTTATACAATCCTCCATATTCCCGGGACAATACATTCCTCACATACAGGTTTTTATTAAGCTTCTCACATGTAATTAAGCGTATATATTACATTGGACATGCTAACAAGGTTGTCAGGAGCCAACTTTTTTTTTCCTCCAAACATCTGTGGTGGTTGAAGTTTCATGGATTTCACACAAATGTTTCAAAACTTGTTTCGAGTTCTAAGCACAGTGATAAAACACTTGCCAAAAGTTCTAACCGTACGACACCATGTGCCAGCAACATACAAAATACGAGAAATTCGAAAAGTACATCAGATAAAGCAAGACGTAGGAGAACAGATCTTGTAAGAGCTATGCTGCGGTATGACACTGTGCACCTCTCGAAATAGACTTCTGGGATCTTAAACAGGAATAGGGCTGCGAGTGGTACAAGCCTTTAACACATAAGAAAAATAAGACAGTGTAGCAGATGTCTTTGATGGTCAGCCTACAAGGGAAACAAGGTTAGCATTTGACAGCAATTCTCTTGATGCCTAAAAAAGAACCACTTTCGTGCTCAGGCTTATTCTTACAGTCCATGCTTTGTTAGTGTAAATGTGACGCCACCATGTGTGAATTAAGATGAATCTATTCACGACTGATCAAAAGTTCAGAAGAGTGTATCTTACCACATTAACATAACCTACAAAACACAAGACTGAAAATGTCACTGTAACTGAACCAAACCAGCACTACTAAGCATTTTGCTTCCATTTGCGATGGTCAGAAGTTTCCTAGGTGGATAATCCACAAAAATCAGTAAGTTTTCAGTGTCATGTATTACCCTGTCTGCCTCTGTTGTATGAGGAACACACTCGTAAGACAGTACGTTCCTACCCATGTGTAATCCTGCTATGAATAACTTGTTTAAAGCCTGTTGAAGCAGAAGTCCTTTCTTTAGCTGGGAGTGATCCTCCTAGTCTGTCCCGTGCAGGCAACACTTAACCGAAATAATCACAAGGGAGTGAAGTAACAAGCTTCAGTTTGGCAGCAGCGGTAGATTCATAATGATTAAGTTAAGCAGTAGTTACAGATTCAAAGGAAGTTATGTATCCACAGTATATGTACAGTATAATTAATTTCTCAAAAGAGTTTTTTTTCATTGCTATATTTTAAAGGTTGCCTTCAAATTACAGGTAAGTCCTTTAAATGCTTGAAAGGCATAAAAATTCCCCAACCCACACAAAACCCCAAACAATGTATTTTAGTTTCAAAAATATTTTGAACCCATGAACAAGCTTGGTATCAGTTAATCTGGTAAAACAACTACGTACTAAATAAAAGCACATCTGGTGGAAAGAGCGCAAAGAACGTTACAAGTGTGCTTAGTTTTTGCTTGCAGCATCTGGCAGTGGGTAGCAGGACAGAGGCAGGAATCTCAGTGGGTCTCCTCCTGTGTCTGTTCTGCAATAGTTTCTGTGGCACTGGCATTGGCAGCAGAGTTGAGAACTTCTCCGAAGTCTCCCCCGGCAGGTTTGCTTCCTCCAACTTTAGACTAGAACACAGACAGAACCTCAACATAAAATTGCAGTTATTTTGCATGCCAAACATGGCTAACTGGATAAAACGCAGTACCTCTGCATGAAAAAGTTTAGTAACTCCTTTCAGCAGAGCAGCTTTTCCAGGACTGAGCTACCTCTACAATACTCCAAAGACAAGTCGTTAAGTGTCATGCAGAAAACAATCACCAGCAGCAGATTAACATAGCAGTCTCCCTTTGACTTTGAGATACACAAAGCATGCAGCAGCCCCGATTCCAGGGAGTCTGAAGGTTGACACACCCTCAGGTAAAAATGGATACAGGTCTGCAGCCTTTCAAGCCACTTAAGCTTTGACAGATTCAGAGTTAAAACTTGCTTCTGTATTGCTCAAGAAAGAACCTTGGAACAGTTTTCAGTCTCAGCAGCAGTTCTGGAGATCTTCAGTGGAGCATAGCAACTATCTTACTTTCTCCAGGTAATGTGTCTGCCTTTTCATTTCCCTCTACAGTACATACCCTGTAGGATGGCAGGAGTGTTAACGCCAGTTAGTGTGCAAGGAAATGCCTAGTTCCCCATGCTATCGCTTTTGCATGCTTCTCATCCAACCCAGTGTGCCCACGAGAACAGTCAAATCTGGTTCCAGTTACATGTATTAGTTATTTCTAAAGTGATTTTTTACCTGGAGAAGCTATTAATGGTTGTTTCTAGCACTTGAGGCTTTTGTGAGTAAATTTAAATTAAGGGGCAAAGACCTTGCATATTTTATGCCAGAAATAAGAGAAACATCCCAAGCTATACTCCTGTGTAAGAAACTAGTCCTTAGGAAGGCATGGAAATAAAAGCCTAGAGCATTTTGGATACCTAATACCAGGTATGTTATACTAGCTGTTCGTGCAGGTTAGCTAGCTGTTAGTCCCTCCAGTTAAAGGCATCCTCCTGTAAGAGGTGCAGGAAGCCCATTTTTTATTCTCAAATCATTAGGCAAAGAAACCATTTCCACAGTACTTAAAAAGATGTCATCTTCAACAGTTTATCAATAACTAAAAAACAGGCTACCCAGAGTCCACTTAGTCTTTTCTCCGCATCCACAGCTCCACAATCACCAAGGCGTTTTAGTAATGCTTACCTTCAAGTTTTCAACTTTTTCCTCAAAGGATTTGAAAGTAGGAGAATTTCTAGGAAAAGAAAACAAGGAACCACAGAATTAAAAACCTATCTGGTTAGTCTATAAACATCAGAAAACAAGCAGACAGTTGCTTTTTCCAATGTCAACATGAGTTTTGTTTGTTTGGGGCTCTTTCCTTGTTTTAAGGGTAGCCTGAAAATAGTTTAGATCTGGATCTCCCCAAGTACTACAAAACTAAAATTGAAACACACTCAAGTTGCAGCTCATTTGTATCTTTGGCAACTAAGCATTGCCAGGCTCAGCGACAGGGTCTTTCATCGCAATATGGAAGGGAGAACTAGCAAGTATTTTAGGTTTAGGTTATTATTCCCAGTGATTTCAAACAGGTTTCTGGCTTAAAGGATTTGTTCAGAAAAGCTTAGTCATCACTTCTGGTTAGCCTAGTACGTTATTGCTGAAGAAAACTGCGCTGCAGCCGCTGGGCCTTAGGAAAAAAAGTCTCTTCCTTCGTAACCCAGAAAGCCCAAGTCTGGATGAGGTAACCCTTCTGTTCATCAGCTAGATAAATAAAAAAAGAACCCATACAACAAGGATTATGTTCCAGAAGTACCTGCCCTACATAGTGTTGACCCTATAGAGGAAGGGCGCTGCTCTCACCGTGTCATTCCAGTCCCCATTCCTTTGTTAAGGTGTACCAGTCGGAGGCTGAGAGTACATCTCAACCCATTTCCTAAACTCCCCAATGTAATCGGGACAGTTTAATTTTATGTAAGCCACTAGAAGTCAGCCTGGGCCTGGCCTTCTCTAGAAGCGCCAAGCTCATCCCTGCAGATTCCTCCTGGTACAGTAGAAGGTATCGGCACTACTTTGAAACCAAATTTAAAGAACCGTTTCAATTAGAAATAAAAATTTCTTACTTGTTTATACAATCCTCCATATTCCCGGGACAATACATTCCTCACATACAGGTTTTTATTAAGCTTCTCACATGTAATTAAGCGTATATATTACATTGGACATGCTAACAAGGTTGTCAGGAGCCAACTTTTTTTTTCCTCCAAACATCTGTGGTGGTTGAAGTTTCATGGATTTCACACAAATGTTTCAAAACTTGTTTCGAGTTCTAAGCACAGTGATAAAACACTTGCCAAAAGTTCTAACCGTACGACACCATGTGCCAGCAACATACAAAATACGAGAAATTCGAAAAGTACATCAGATAAAGCAAGACGTAGGAGAACAGATCTTGTAAGAGCTATGCTGCGGTATGACACTGTGCACCTCTCGAAATAGACTTCTGGGATCTTAAACAGGAATAGGGCTGCGAGTGGTACAAGCCTTTAACACATAAGAAAAATAAGACAGTGTAGCAGATGTCTTTGATGGTCAGCCTACAAGGGAAACAAGGTTAGCATTTGACAGCAATTCTCTTGATGCCTAAAAAAGAACCACTTTCGTGCTCAGGCTTATTCTTACAGTCCATGCTTTGTTAGTGTAAATGTGACGCCACCATGTGTGAATTAAGATGAATCTATTCACGACTGATCAAAAGTTCAGAAGAGTGTATCTTACCACATTAACATAACCTACAAAACACAAGACTGAAAATGTCACTGTAACTGAACCAAACCAGCACTACTAAGCATTTTGCTTCCATTTGCGATGGTCAGAAGTTTCCTAGGTGGATAATCCACAAAAATCAGTAAGTTTTCAGTGTCATGTATTACCCTGTCTGCCTCTGTTGTATGAGGAACACACTCGTAAGACAGTACGTTCCTACCCATGTGTAATCCTGCTATGAATAACTTGTTTAAAGCCTGTTGAAGCAGAAGTCCTTTCTTTAGCTGGGAGTGATCCTCCTAGTCTGTCCCGTGCAGGCAACACTTAACCGAAATAATCACAAGGGAGTGAAGTAACAAGCTTCAGTTTGGCAGCAGCGGTAGATTCATAATGATTAAGTTAAGCAGTAGTTACAGATTCAAAGGAAGTTATGTATCCACAGTATATGTACAGTATAATTAATTTCTCAAAAGAGTTTTTTTTCATTGCTATATTTTAAAGGTTGCCTTCAAATTACAGATAAGTCCTTTAAATGCTTGAAAGGCATAAAAATTCCCCAACCCACACAAAACCCCAAACAATGTATTTTAGTTTCAAAAATATTTTGAACCCATGAACAAGCTTGGTATCAGTTAATCTGGTAAAACAACTACATACTAAATAAAAGCACATCTGGTGGAAAGAGCGCAAAGAACGTTACAAGTGTGCTTAGTTTTTGCTTGCAGCATCTGGCAGTGGGTAGCAGGACAGAGGCAGGAATCTCAGTGGGTCTCCTCCTGTGTCTGTTCTGCAATAGTTTCTGTGGCACTGGCATTGGCAGCAGAGTTGAGAACTTCTCCGAAGTCTCCCCCGGCAGGTTTGCTTCCTCCAACTTTAGACTAGAACACAGACAGAACCTCAACATAAAATTGCAGTTATTTTGCATGCCAAACATGGTTAACTGGATAAAACGCAGTACCTCTGCATGAAAAAGTTTAGTAACTCCTTTCAGCAGAGCAGCTTTTCCAGGACTGAGCTACCTCTACAATACTCCAAAGACAAGTCGTTAAGTGTCATGCAGAAAACAATCACCAGCAGCAGATTAACATAGCAGTCTCCCTTTGACTTTGAGATACACAAAGCATGCAGCAGCCCCGATTCCAGGGAGTCTGAAGGTTGACACACCCTCAGGTAAAAATGGATACAGGTCTGCAGCCTTTCAAGCCACTTAAGCTTTGACAGATTCAGAGTTAAAACTTGCTTCTGTATTGCTCAAGAAAGAACCTTGGAACAGTTTTCAGTCTCAGCAGCAGTTCTGGAGATCTTCAGTGGAGCATAGCAACTATCTTACTTTCTCCAGGTAATGTGTCTGCCTTTTCATTTCCCTCTACAGTACATACCCTGTAGGATGGCAGGAGTGTTAACGCCAGTTAGTGTGCAAGGAAATGCCTAGTTCCCCATGCTATCGCTTTTGCATGCTTCTCATCCAACCCAGTGTGCCCACGAGAACAGTCAAATCTGGTTCCAGTTACATGTATTAGTTATTTCTAAAGTGATTTTTTACCTGGAGAAGCTATTAATGGTTGTTTCTAGCACTTGAGGCTTTTGTGAGTAAATTTAAATTAAGGGGCAAAGACCTTGCATATTTTATGCCAGAAATAAGAGAAACATCCCAAGCTATACTCCTGTGTAAGAAACTAGTCCTTAGGAAGGCATGGAAATAAAAGCCTAGAGCATTTTGGATACCTAATACCAGGTATGTTATACTAGCTGTTCGTGCAGGTTAGCTAGCTGTTAGTCCCTCCAGTTAAAGGCATCCTCCTGTAAGAGGTGCAGGAAGCCCATTTTTTATTCTCAAATCATTAGGCAAAGAAACCATTTCCACAGTACTTAAAAAGATGTCATCTTCAACAGTTTATCAATAACTAAAAAACAGGCTACCCAGAGTCCACTTAGTCTTTTCTCCGCATCCACAGCTCCACAATCACCAAGGCGTTTTAGTAATGCTTACCTTCAAGTTTTCAACTTTTTCCTCAAAGGATTTGAAAGTAGGAGAATTTCTAGGAAAAGAAAACAAGGAACCACAGAATTAAAAACCTATCTGGTTAGTCTATAAACATCAGAAAACAAGCAGACAGTTGCTTTTTCCAATGTCAACATGAGTTTTGTTTGTTTGGGGCTCTTTCCTTGTTTTAAGGGTAGCCTGAAAATAGTTTAGATCTGGATCTCCCCAAGTACTACAAAACTAAAATTGAAACACACTCAAGTTGCAGCTCATTTGTATCTTTGGCAACTAAGCATTGCCAGGCTCAGCGACAGGGTCTTTCATCGCAATATGGAAGGGAGAACTAGCAAGTATTTTAGGTTTAGGTTATTATTCCCAGTGATTTCAAACAGGTTTCTGGCTTAAAGGATTTGTTCAGAAAAGCTTAGTCATCACTTCTGGTTAGCCTAGTACGTTATTGCTGAAGAAAACTTGTCATCAGAGTTTTTTCACTTGCTATAGGAAAACTGATTTAATTTAATAGGCTACGTGTTCAATTAACAAAACATGGTTCGCAGCGGCATTTTCTGCTTACATGTTAAATTTAAAGGAGACTCCCCCTTGCCTTTTAAGTGCTGGAGACAGCTGTGATTACAAATGATAAGTTCTGCATATGAAGAGCAGGACAGCTTGGGATTTTCAATGCTGAGGGCCAGTGTATTATTTATTAGGGTCAGAAGAGTGGCTTAATGCTCCGACTAGTTGTCAGTGCCACTTGCAAATTTGTGCAATAGCTTGTACACCTTTTCTGCCTTTATGCAGGATGGAAAAAGCTTGCCTTCAGTGGACCAGGACTAAGGATTCATAGCAGACTCAAAAAAAATTATTATATAAAGATGAAAGACAGGAGGGTTTTTTTCAGAAGAGGTGTTAAACTTCCCTCCCCCCTTTGCTTGGTAATTGTGTAGGTCACCCACACTTAGCAGCACTCTTTCATTTGGGAAAGCACACAGTGACATATATATACCGAACCAGACTCTCTCAGGAGATGGAGGGACACAGTGCCAAGCAAGGGGAAAAAAAGGCAAGCACTCCAAGTCAGCAAGAGACTTTTTGTGAAACCACAGTATTTTTTACACACTTTCATCGTTCTAAAACAGATGCCAAGCTATTGCCTTTTAAACTTGGAATCATTTAGTAGCATTACATTTCTAACAGGCAGGGAAAAGTTGTTATGGTTGTCCAAACAGCAGGAAAGTGCACTTGGTCACATTCTAGATGTGCGATAACCACCACCATTAAGCAGAATAAAACAAATTTTATCCTATATGTTAGTACAGGAAATCCATTACAAAATTGGGTGGGGTTTTTGGTTTTGTTTTCAATCTATGTTAGTTGACTTAAGTTCAATTTGACTTGATTCCACACATGAAAATAAATAAACCCAACAGCTGGATTATGCATACGTTACCTCATAATAGGCATGCTAATTGAATGTTGTATGGAGCGTATACTAAATGCCAGCATTAAGAAAAAAGAAAGTGAGAAGTTAGTTTAAATGACAGACTGAGAAGAAATGGGCTTAGAGAGCTGACTTCTGGATACGATCTTTGGTAAATAGCCAAACAGTCTTATATAGTAACTGCTTGGTTTTGCTTTTTTAAATTGCTTAGCCATGCACACACACACAACACAGAGCAAAAGCTGCAACAACTTTTTTCCTTTTAGAAAGATTCAAGTGCCATGCTTGTTCATACATATTCTGCTTAGCTGCAACAGGCTGTCTACTCGTTAAGTTTCTCAAGCAATGAGAGACATGCTGCATTTACAGTTTTGACCATATCAAGTAGAAAGCAAACACTAAAGTCCTATCAATCAACTAATCTTCCTACTGAAAAAATTATTCCTACATTCAGAAGGCTTCCATTTCAATTCAGTGTAAGATTTCCATACTCATCAATACAAATTATCCACTTGTCAATATAGGTTATCTAGCAAGAGCAGTCACATCAATCTATATTCAAGGTCAGGTTTATGCTGGGGGCAGGGAGAAAGTCCTAGACTAAACCCTGTTCCGAAATTCATGGAGGATTTCTGTAACCTGCCAGTGTTGCTATACAGTTACTGTTTAGTGACAACACACACCTACTCCTAGAAGGTGACCGGATATAGATTAAGAAGCTCCCAAATAACTTCAAGACCACCTGGAATCTAATTTAGTTCCATATTCTAGAAAAATCTCTGTTTACTCTTGATACAATTTAGTCTTACACGTTAAATGTTTCTCGTCAAATACCATAATAGTAAGTTAGAAAAACTGATGATCACAGTTTTTCATAACTATATTTGGAATGTCAAATTTTGACTGGGCTTTATGATGTCTTTCAAGAGAATACTTTCCAGGCAATTGCTGGGGGGGGAATCTCTCACATTTGATGCACCTCCAAAACTCCAATTAGTATTTCAGTACAATGGAAGATAGATTCACAGAAGGAAAAAGGTTCCGTATTCATTGCAGAATGAGTTTTAAGAGATTCTTCCAGGAGGCTCATCAGTAGAATACAGTGATAGAAAAAAACTACACATGTAAAAAGTTCCCTTAAGGTTGGGATGCCTTAAGGCAGATGCAGAACTGAAGGTTGGTTTGTAGGTACGGTGTACTGGGAATCAGATATGCAAAGGCCAGATGCTGTCCTGACACACATCAGTAATGTGTGGCCATGTTTCATCCCTTTCCCCAACCCCATTTCTGCTGTGTTTCATCTTCATGGATGGTTTGGCTTCCACAAGCTTTTCCAGAGCACACAGAAGCTGATTGTCTTCTGGAATGTAATTTATATTCCTCGCTCTGTGATGTGGATTACTACAAGTTCTGGTCTTGCTATCTGCCAAGTTTTAGTACAGAACTAGGCTGATACTAACTAGTTCTCTTTGTCCAGTCGTGCTCAGCCACTTCCCCTCACGCTGTAAGAAGTGCCTCTCTGCAAGAAGTTTAAGGCTAAAGAGGGTGAAAGTTACCTTCTTTCCCCCATATATATTTACAATCTGTAGACCTGCTCACACTGAAAAGCAACAACCTATGGTGCATTGCAGGTCTTTTAACATGTGTCTAGGGAAGTTTAGTTTAATCTCATAGAGGTCATTTAATGGAAGAAACTATTCGTATATTCGTGAAGGATTTACTTGCTGTTGTACAATACACTTACATATACTCAGTATCCGTTTTGTAAAACGTCACCATAAGATGGTATATAGTTTTATCACAGAATGATCTGGTTTGCAAGAGAACTGGATTAGATAAGTGCAGTTAATTTTTTTTTAACATCAAATCACCTGTTCTTCAAGTACTGCAAAGAAGCACGATTAAGCCTTGAAAAGCTTTACAAAGAAGAGAACTTGTATTTCTTTTCACAAATGACAGAATGCCACATCAAAGCACTCACTCAACTAGGCCATCAAGTTTGAAGAAGAGAAGCCCTTTTTACAATGCTCACAAGCAAACCCTATCTTTAAAAAAAATATAAAACCAAAAAAGGCACAATAAGTTGCTCTCCAGCTTTCCATGTATTTTGTACTGCATTAAAAGCTTTCTTATCCTTTACACGATTATTTTTATAGCTACTACATTGCCTCACATTTCCAAAATGCACAAGGAGGTATGCCAGAGTCCCTGCCTGGAAAACTTGGGCTTAAGAGTGCATAAGTGCTAGTTATTCGCTTTTGTTAATAGTTAGGTTTCCAGCTGATATATGATGATCCATGAATCCATGATCATATCAGATTTCCAAAGCAAGCAAAGAAAGTTATTCCGCAATCTCAGAACAGGGCAAAGACGAGGACTTCCGCTCCGTAATATGGATGCAGTGGAAGAGGAGCTAAGTGCAAAATCATGATTGCTCAGGAAGTTTGCCCAGAGCTACATCCTGGTACTACTGCTGTTTTGCACATAATACTGATGTTGCCTACGCAAGGATGGCTAGCTCATCAAAAGTTCAAGACGTTCTTATAAAGGAGAATAAAGGTATTAAGAGAAACCTAAGAAGGAACAGAGTTCATTTTCAGCATAACAAGAAGCAGAATAAACAAACACAAAAAGGAAGCAATGATGCACTGTCTTCACACTACCAGTCCTCTCTCTTCCTTTCTATTTCAGTACTTTCCAAGTTTACAGCTCCACCAGCTGCCTTACTCCTATTCATAACTCCCTCCAAAATCACTTTGCAGTGCAAGAATGAAGACCTGCATGTGATGTTTGCTGCATGGAACATGTGGAAATAGTCCAACACAGAAGAAATCATGCCATTACAGCTGAGAAGTCCCTAAGCAAAAACAGTACAAGAAAAGCGAAGCCACGATGAAGAAGCCCCATAAGAGTTTAAGAATAGAAGTGCACCTGCATATTCAGTATTTGTTCAAGTATCAGGCCCATCAATTCTCATTTCCAGGAAAGAACTTGGGCATCTAAAACTTTCTAAAGTTCAGACTTGTGCAGTCTTAAAAGTAGACACCACTTGAGTAGTCACATAACCCTGGGACCTGAATTCACTCACTGGTTGAATCCCAGATGAACTTAGTTCTCGTGAAAGCAAAAAACTCAAAAGGTTTTTAATCTTCTGTTTAAGTGCAACTAAGATATTGAACAGCACTAATTCTTCCCACTTTTTTTTTTTTTTAAACCCAGCTGCTCCTGAATTTGTAACTATACCTTGAATTTCCATTGCCATGACTCTCCTTGAGAAGCACACCAACAGTGTGGACTCCTTTGGCCCTGTTACATTCCCTCCCAGTGGCCCAGTTTCTGATAGAGAGTACTCAAGACCCACGTAGCCACTAACTTGAGTAATTAGCACACTCTTCTTCTAAGGTACTAAATTCCTGAAGCCAGAAGAGAGCTATGAGTCTGTGCTTGTCTTTGTCAAATGCAATAGTCTAATACTAGTAAAGGAACACCATAGCCTTAAGGAAGAACGGTGAACCCTGTTAAGTGAGTAGCAGAGCTCTGCATCCAAGAGGTATAGAGACATCTTCCAGGCTCCCTTTGTCTCACTGAGGCTAAAAGGGAGGTATTTCAGACAGGCTTGCTATTCTTATACTTGAGCAAACTGAGCTCACTTCAGAATCTGAGTTCTGATAGCATCCTGTGCTCCTGCCCATCTCCTCCCCAGGCACTGCCCCTGAGGCTATAGCTCCTAGTTAGTATTCTAGGAGCCAGATCCCTACAACTTTCCACAGATCCTACTGCTGTCTTTAGCTACTTATTGGGAGAGTACAGAAAAGATGAAGCCAAACTCAGAGGTGTGCACAGATGGGATGAGAGGCAACAGACAGAAGTTGCTACACAGGAATTTTAACAACTGAAAACTAAACATTGAGTATTTGCTTAGACTAGGCAGATAAAAAGCAATGCAGACACCATAACTACAATACTCAGTGTCTGGAGCTGCTAAAGTAATCAACTCAAAGACAAGGACTGTTTCACCGGACAAACAATGAACAGAGAATGCATAAACTATTTTACATTTAGACTCTAGTGATTTGATTAGAGTCACAATGCTAAACAGCCATTGTAATAGACACAAAAAAGGGGAAATTTCTACTCTGTCAAGGCACAAACACTGTACAGACAAAGAGAAGGAGAAATTCTGCATGCCATTGACCTCAAAACCATATTCTGTCTCTTTACAAAAAAACCTTGCAGAATCATTTTAACAGATTCCTTTCTTACAAGGAAGAGAGACTAATTGATTATTATGTATTCTGAAGAGTTAATGTTCTGGGATGGTTACCAGGTGAACATGAAGAAACATCTTCCCTGACATTAAAAGAGCTTCAGTTTTACATTAACTAACACTGGAGAAAAAAAAAAAACCTTTAACAGACAAAACTTATTTAAAGATTTTAATGGAGACAGTCTGACTACATGCTTAGTTTCAGAAACAATTCTTGTGCCCACCTTACCTAAAGGAATGTGAAAATGCCTGTAGTCTGCACAATGCCAGAGCAAGCATTAAAGAGAGAAAGGAAGTTCTGATAAATCTGAAGAAAAATATGTAACTGCTGCACCTCAAAGTGTTTTCTCACTAGACTTCAAAAAGCAAGAAAGAGGTTAATGGCAGCACTTTAAAACAGAGGGCTGATTTTATTACACTGCTTTCCAAGGCAGCAATATTCTGTTAGAATGTATGAATTTTTGTTTGTCCAATAATTGAAAAATAAGTTTGATCCATTATTCACAACAAATTATAAGCAGAGATGAATAGTTGCATATATTCCACTAGTAAAAATTATATAATCAAAGAATTGTAAGCTAAGCATATGATTGGATTGCATCCAGGAAGAGTTTTGCATGCAGCTCACAAGAGCACTAAAAATGACCACCAAACTTACCTAATTTGCATGAAGGTCTGTGTCATCTGACACAAAGTCAAAGTATGTTGTGTGCCAATATTTAAGAATTAAAAAGTGCCAATAGTCTATTAAAAAGGTAATAAAATCAAGCCACTGCTATGAGGTAGAACAGCTTACAAAGAAATAAAACACACCTGAAAGGAATCCACACACAAGACAAAAAAAAAAAAACATGCAAAAAAAACAACTACCAAACCAAACACAGTTAAAGACATTAGTTATTTAAATGTAGTATTCCACAAGCTGAGAAAGTCAGAGAACAGAAATGACAATGCTATGTGTATCACACAGAGGCAGGCAGAGACACTGCCACCTGCAATCCTACCAGAAAAATAAGAGCAGCAGTGGAGGTAATAGCATACATTACTTCTCTTGCGTATATAAAATACACACCACAGAACTCTTCTGCATTAGTGAGGACATACAAGCAGATAATTGCAGCAAGTCGCTCAGCTCTCCTAAAACAGATGCTGAGGGTTCTTGATAGATCAACTTTTAGAAGTGCTAGGTACGTTAACAGCATAAATTTCTTTCAGTGATCACCTGCTTAAATCAAAAATGCAACTACTTGGGAAAAGCTGAAGAAACCTACCTGACATCTTCAAACTTCTTGGTTATGACTGAACCAACAGATGAAAAAGCAGCAGAAGCCTTCTGTCCAGCCTGAGACAGGGTTTCTGATGTTTTCTTGTACCTGTGTTCAAACAAAATTAAGTCTGTAGTTATTTTAATAGAACACATAAAGAACCTTTTAGTGTATGTAAATTTGTATCAAACCCAGAGATATACTTCAACTTTGGGGTCAAATGAACAAGCTACCTAAAGAGATTATTTTGACCCATTGCAGTCCCTTCTGGCTACAGCATTTCTGCCACCTCAGACTTCCTATCAGGTTCACCAACATGCACCTACTACCCCACCCACAGAACAGATGCTATCTGCTATTGTAGGACTTTAAAAAAAATTTAAAAAGAAACCCAACCAAACAAAACCAAAAAACCCCAAGGAAACACCACCATGCATACACACTGAAAAAGAACAGAGGTCTATTTTTTGTGCCAAGCATCTCAAATCTTGTACTGAATGGTTTTGTCAGTAAACTTCACCATAGAAAGTTTGAGGTACATCCTCTTACATTCTGTGTAGTCATTAATTGCAGAAGGCAGTTCACTCTAGACCTTAAGCTAACAGCTGTGTTTGGCAAGAACATTAACTGTGACTTCGCACTCTTCCTGCATGAGTTCAGTTTACAACAATTTTTCAGGCTGGAAAAGAATGGTATTCTGTTGGACTTAGGACACCGTGGTATCTCAGTAATGGTATCTCAGATCTGTCAGACAAAAAGTGTATTAGAATCACCCATATTATGGTCAATCATTCTTATTTTGCATGAGATGATACGGCTAATAGTGGCATTCTTTAATGAAATCTATGACGATTTATCCAGGTAAGTTTTAGTGCAACTTAACTTTGCGTTATCTACACTCATCTCATTTCACAAGAACAGAGGGTTTAGACATGACACAAGAACTACACAGTTTTCACCTCAACAGCTGAGACAATCATCGTGAACCGGTACATACGCTGTGGTTGATGTAACATCTTGCCAGCCTTTGGTAATGTTCTGCCTTAGTTCCTGTAATGAGTTAATTCCCAGCTTTCTCTTGATTTCTGCTAGATGCTTCTCTTTGGCAGCTAGCACTTGTGAGAGCGTCTGGATTTCCTCCTCCACCTGTGGCAGCAGAGTTGATGAGAGGTAAGTTAACAAGTGATATAACCAGCCATTTAACTATGTATTTATTAAAACATCTACTAGGCATCAGTAACGGGAGGGCTAACAGGTTTTTAACATTGCCTCATAGTTGTTTCTAAACACTAAAAGGGCAATCCAACATAGCCTACAACAAGAGCTAGTGAGAAAGTAATCTACCTGCAGCTAGCTCTGTTACTGGAATATGCACAAGGAAGTTGGTAACTAAAAGACTGTATAGTTAGGAATCATTACCTTTAGACAACATTAGCCTATGTGAAGCTTGAAGATTAGTCAAACCTGGGACAATCGCCAAGCCTGAATTCTCCTTCCATGTCAGAAGAGATACCAATGTATGACCAGTATCAGGAAGTTCAGAGCACGTCTGATCCATACACAAGCTTTGTCTCCTTGCTTGAACAGAAAGGTTCTTTCGTGGCTTAAGCCAGCAACTGCAGGCTGGATCCAGCCACAGGAGTGCCTTCCCCAGATAGGGGGTGGAAATGGTGGCAGACTGAGCAGTTAAAAAAAAAAAAATCAAACCAAAAAAGCACAACAAAAACACAGCACCTGTTCAGCAACTAGAAAACTGTATTGTTTGTATACTTCCTTCTTTACACAAATGGTCACTTAAGCCTCCCACAGAAGCATTACCAGATCACGATCAGAGATGTGAAACAGTTTTACGATGCCATTCTGTGGGCTACACAGATGTGACAGAGGCACTAAGGCCATATGTACAAAGGCAAAGGTATATATCCAACCCTACCTCCTCATCCAGACTGGACCACCCTACTTTAGAGTATCAAGGCTGCCCATTCATTTAAGCTCCTTTGAGGAAATACCAAGATCTTCAATGCACCTTTGTTTTGGATACCTGTCTGAAGTCCAGCGTGAGGTACCCTAGCAGGACCAGATATCCCTCACCATCTTCAGCCGATTGGTTTGGCATGAAATAATACTCAGGACTAACAAAAACCAAGACTGCAATAAATGTGCTTATTTCACAGCTAACCTACATTTGCCAACCTTACACTTAAGTTAGTGTCTTTTATTAGGGTCCTAAAGTCACGTAGAGCTACGAAAGAAAAAAGACCAGCAACTCAATAAAGCTTGACTTTGACAACTTTTGAAATGCATGTATCAGGCTTGAATATTTGACTGTCCTTCAAAGAGTGCTACTTTAACTCAGTCTTAAAAAAATTTCTGCTACATGAACTATGGACAAGAATAGTTACATGGTTAGACATTAGCAAAACAGTGTCTACATGGATATTACTATGAAGCATCCTTCATGAAAACAACAGCTTTAGTTACTCCACACCAGTTGAGACAATACTTGGTTTTGGCTTCCAACCACGTTCTCTTTGACAGCTTATTTAGCCCCTTCTCGCTTGAGGAAAAAAAAGGGTTAGGCATTTATGCATCTTGGTTTAAGATCTGTACACTCAGCACTTCTAGCTTAATTCCCAATAGCTAGAACTGGCTGTTCTTTTCTCCTTGACACCTTTCCTTTCCCTCCCTGCAACACACAGGAGTGCCGTACCCGGCTTTAGACACTCACAGAATAAATATGCGAAGCATGAACTGTATATTCAAAGACAGAATTATCCCAGATTTTCACTCTCAAAACCAGTTTAAGAGCTATTTGCAAGAGATTTACCTTCGCAAGCTCTTTTCTTAGCTCATCCTGTTCTTCTTCCGAGAGTGTTTCTGCCATACCAACTGTAGCAGCAGCATCCTCTCCAACCTCAGGTATAGAGTCACTTCTCAGCAGCCCTTGAGGTGAATAAACCATTAAAAGTCACATCATCACATGTCTGCCAGATAGCAGCTAACGTTAATATACAGCCCTTTTGTGCCAGTGCACAAAGAAAACTGATGAGAGAACACCAAAGTCACGCTCCCCGAGTCCTGTGGCGTACAGGAAACCAGAGACGTTTTACTGGCTGTTTCGTTCTATCAAGTTGTATTACAGCTCAGTAATTGCAACTGCTGCTATAATAGGAGACTGGAAACATGTTGAGAACAACACATCCCACTACTCTGATAGAAGCCAAGGCGCAGAACGCTACATCCCAACCAGTGGTTCCTATACAACCTCTGCCCAGGAGTCCCTGCGCTCCCTGCTCTCTCTCACTCAAGAGGCACAGAAACTCTAGAAGCGCTGGAGGAGTTCAAGACCAATGCAGAGGCTCCCTCCCTCACTGCTCTCTGGATCAGATTAAAAAAATGCCTATTCTCAGCACACTAGGAGTGGTCACGGCAACAAGCAAGCTCAGCAACAGCGGAGAAAAGGGTTACATTGGAAGTACGAACTCTTCCCCCATACCCTGCACAACCTCTCTGTCCCTAGTAACTGGGATCGCTGTGGCTAGAAAGTCACAGATATTGTGGAACTAGAAGTAAGCTGCTGTTTTGCGCCTGGACATTAAGACAGATTAGAAGCCCGGAGAAGGAGCTTAGGAACAAAAAGCCATCACTCCAAACAAAGCAGTGGAGTGCTTAGAAGGGACTGATGAGGATGTGCATCCACTCACACTGCTGCCTCTTCCCCTTCCAAATCCAGAAACCAAAACTCCGCCAAATTCCTCTGTATGAATCCCAAACATCCCTATAGACTTCCTCAACTCGAGGGTAGGAAGTCTCTGCAGAGGGACCTAGACAGGCTGGATCGATGGGCCCAGGCCAACTGTATGAGATTCAACAAGGCCAAGTGCTGGGTCCTGCACTTCGGCCACAACAACCCCATGCAGCGCTACAGGCTTGGGGAAGTGGCTGGGGAAAGCTGCCTGGCGGAAAAGGACCTGGGGGTGCTGGTCGACAGCCGGCTGAACATGAGCCGGCAGTGTGC